AAAACAATTTATATATCATACAACTTATCCACTTAAAGTTAAATAAGTGGATAAGTTGTATGATATATAAATAAGATAAAGTTCAGTGACTTTTGTATAGTCAAAGACCCACAACTACTTGACACACTCAATGTTAGAACATTTTTATTTCTCTCCAAAGAAACCCCATACCTCTTAAATGTCAATACCCAGTCTATCCTTTCCAGCCCTGGACAGCACTATTTTCTATTTGTATAGATTTTCCTGTTCTGGACATTTCGTAAGATGGAATCATATGATATGTAGTCTTATGTGACTGGCTTCTTTCACCCAGCATAATATTTTCTATTTATCTATATTGAAACATATGTCAATACTTCATTTCTTTTTATTGCCAAATAATATCTATTGTATGAGTATACTATATTTTATTTGTCCATTTATCAGTTGATGAATGTTTAGATTGTTTTTGTTTTTTGGCTATTATGAATAATGTTGCTATGAACGTTTCTGTACAAGTCTTTGTGAAAAATTTCTCACATTGCTTTTTATTCAGATTGTGTTATCAATCCTTCTACAAGAGGTTGAGACAAATCCAGTCATGTTTCTTGAAAACTAGTTTATGAATTTTGTTACTGGCCTCCTTTGGACAGCTTGCAAAGGTCAGAGGGAAGCTGCCTTACCCTCCCTGATGTAATGCTGGAATGTAGTGCACCCGCTGGCTTCCTGTCCCAGTATGCTAAAGAGGGCTCCTCTAGGACTCAGTGAGCAGAGTCAGGCAAGGACTGGAACTGTGTGCTTGGTTTCAGTGTACTCCTCTTACCATTCCTGTGAGCTAACTTGTAGCTGGATAGCGCAAGGCTCCCAAGAAAACTCACCTCACCCAGCCTTCCAATGTCTCCCAAGCCTACCCAGCATCCTCTTACAGAGCTGGTCTCATTGGTGATAAGAAACCCAAGACCTTCAGGTCTCCAAAGCTGCTACTCTTCCTTGATGTGGGGGAGAGGAGAGGCAGATGCTTATAATTTAGATACATCTCCCCTCTTTTTGCAGAAGCAATGGTGTATGAATTCTATACCTAAAATGAATTATATTCCCAGTGAACTCTGGAGACAGAAAACAGATGTGGTGGTGCACACACATAATCCCAGCACTCTGGGAGACCGAGCCAAGAAGACTGCGAGTTTGAGCCCAGCCTGAACAATTTAGTGACTTACCAAGAACTTGTTTCTAACTCAATTTTAAAAATGTTAAAAATAAATAAATAAATAAATAAAAAATGTTAAAGGGGGCAGGGAAATAGCTCAGTAGAATAGACGCCTGCCTGGCAAGTGTAATAGCCTGAGTTCAATCCCCAGTTCCAAAAAACCCCAAAAAACCGTTAAAGGGCTGGGGGGGGAGGCAGCCAGATAGCTCAGTGGACTAAAGAACCTGCTTAGGCAAAGCACAGTGGCCAGGTTCAATCCCCAGCGTGCTATGCCAGCCCACCCCAGGGTGCGCTGAGACAGGAGATTGAGACTGGGCGTGATGGCATGAGCCTGTAATCCCAGCACTTGGGAGGCGAAAACAGGAGAATCACTATGAGTCTGATCTATGTAGTAAGACCCTGTACACCCTATAGACACTGCTCTAAATTCATTTTTTTAAAAAAGGCTAGGGATATAACTCAGTGCAGAGACCTTAGATTATAAAATAATAATAATAATAATAATAATAATAATAATAAAAAGCTGCTGGGGCATGATAAAGGTAAGCTCTCAAATAACAATTATATGTATAATTATAATTTATTCCCATGGTACTCTCCATCATTATAATAGTTACTGTTTTATTGGATATTAATATTTAGAATTTATTGGGGCTGGTGAGATGGCTCAGTGGTCTAAAGCATCTACTTGAAACAAGCGTGGCAAAGCACAGGGACCGCGGTTCGATCCCCCAGCACCACATGCCAGCCAGCCCCGCCCCCTGGTGGGCTGAGCTGGCCACACACACACACACACACACACACACACAATAAATAAATAAATAAATAAATAAATAAATAAATGTTTAAAAAAAATTAAAAAAAAAAGAATTTATTGTGTTAGGCACTGTTAATTTTTCATTATTTTCAGTACTCACCCTATCTTGCAAATTAGACATCATTATCTTACTTGACAAAGGATGAAACTAGGGCTTAGAGTGGTTCAGACAAAATCATAAATAATAATGGGCAGACTAAGAATTTGAACCCAATTCCTCCTTTCTCCAAAGACCATGTTCGTAACCTCTGTACTGTCCTATTTCCTCACCATCTGAGTTACTGAGAGAAAGGGCTTCACAGTGATATTTGAAGACAGAGCTTCCCAAACTGTGAGAATGAATATTCCAGCCCTCTGGGGACAGATGGGTCCAGAATTGCTGTAGCATAGGCTGGTTTCCTCTTCTATGAGTTGATGTGAGTATGCCAGACAAAATACTAATCTTTTATAATTTAAAAAGTGTTGGACAGACCTATTTTAAAAGAAGGAAGAAGCCAGGTGTGGTGGTGCACATGCCTGTAATCCCAGCACTTGGGAGGCTGAGACAAGAGGATCACTATGAGTTTGAAGCCTGGGCTACAAAGTGAGTTTAAAGCCAGCCTGAACTACATAGCAAAACCTTGTCTCAAAAAGACAGAAACAGGGGCTGGGGAAATTGCCTGGCAAGTGCAAGGTCCTGAGTTCAATCCCTGGTACTGAAAAAAAAAAAAAAAGGAAGGAAGAAAAAAAAAAGGAAGGAAGGAAGGAAGGAAGGAAGGAAGGAAGGAAGGAAGGAAGGAAGGAAGGAAGGAAGAGATTCCTGGTCTCTAGGCCAATATTTTGTACAATTTTGTGGCTGCTAGGATGCTGATTAATGAAGAGGCATCTACAGGAACAAGAATATAGGCTTTGTGATAGAAGGGATTGTGTTCTTTTTTGCTGAACTTTATATCCAGGACATTTAGAAAATACTTGACACATTGTAGCTACTCAAAAGTTGTGTTTTGAAAGAGGAGTGAACAAGAATACCTGGCTGTAAACCTAATTCTGCTTCTCATTTGCTATGTGACCTAGACAAATGCCAGACCCAAACCTTCTCTGGGTTTCAGTAGATGGACCAGGGAGACTAGGATTTGGTTGTCACTGATAATCTATCCAGTTCCAGCATCCAATCAGTACAGTGGAGGGTGGGCTATACCAGATGCATTTTTAATGATAATGTCTGACTCCCTAGGGTGAGTAACATGGCATGAATGTAGGAGATAAGGCACCTGAACCAGTCACAGATAAATGTGGAGTTCCTTTATGTTCGAAGGGAGAGATATTTTAAAACAAATATTAAATAAGAACTTTTACAAAAATACTTCCATTTTCCTTCTTCAAACTGAAATGCAGTGAGAACTTCAGGTTAAGAAGGATTTGGTCAGTTATATTTCCTTTAATAGAGATGAACTATTTGATCTTAGAGAATGAAGGCAAATGACATTCTGACCCTCAGACCTTTTGGGGACCTCTGGCCTGACTCAGCTGCTCTCTTCTTAGGAGGGGATGTATAAACCTATTGGATTTGTGAACCAGCTGGCGGTTCATTTCAGCCAGGTGGGGAACCTGGTCCCCAAAGACTCCGATGAAGGACGGAGGCAGCACTACCGTGATGAGTTGGCAGCAGGTAGGGCCCTGGGCCACCCTGAGGCCATGGATCTGAACCTTGTCTCTGTTCTTTGATCACTTTAAGCAGTGGGCCCATGTATTAGACCTTTGCAGAGCGTCTGCTTACATAATGTCCAATAGCTGCATGTCCCAAGAAGGACTGGAAGCTAACTCATGATGCTTAGGTCAAAAGAACCCCTGGGACACCAAGGATCTAAAAGACAGTGACCAAGAAGGCTGTCCTTTCCAAGGACTGGGAAAATAGGCTTGGACTCTGAGCTCACTGGCAATATCTTAACAAGGTTCACAGGAGTCTGCCAAGGTGGTGTTTTCAGATGCAGAAATCCTTGAAGAAGATGAAGAGCCCAAGGAAGCAGAAATGGAGGCTGGGAGTCAAACAGATATACCTATGGCTGAGGTATGGATGATGTTGTTCTCTATCCCATCCCTCCTAGCTCAAGCCATGGAAAGAGGGTTTATTTGGATGTAGGGAGGCCAAACATGGAAATCTAGAGCCTGCAGGTGCCAACATGTCTGGCAGCATCTTCTCTCCCACTTCCCTCCTATCCCAGGATGGGCTTCCCAGTACTCCTGATTTTCCACTGCCTCCCTCTCACAACTGATCCTTTGGTCATTGTTTCTAGGTAGCTGAAAAAGTGGCTGAAGAAGAACTGATGAGTGCTAAGCAGCCCAAGGAGCGAAAGCTTACTAACCAGTTTAACTTCAGTGACAGAGCTTCACAGACTCTCAACCACCCTCTCCGGGTACAGCCACTACAGTCCCTTTGCTTTGAAGCTTTGTTCTGTGCCTGGTACAGAGAGCAGCCCTGACCCTACTCCTGCCAGCCTCATCTTGGCAGGGATGACAGGGCAGACCACAGCTTATCTGTCCAAGCAGCGTGAAGAACACAGGGTCAAGTTCCAGTAACCCATCTAGGCAGTTCAGGAGTGACAGGGACAGAGGTTCCAAAATGTCACTGAGAAGCCAATATTTGAGCTGAGCTTTGAAGAATAGAAATCAAACGAAATCAGACCAGGCATGATGGCACATGCCTGTAATCCCAGAATTTAGGAGGCTGAGATAGGAGGATTGCTGTGTTTGAGAACAGCCTGGACTACAAAGTGAACTCAAGTTCAGCCTGAACTGCATAGTGAGACACTGTCTCAAAAAAGATGATGGGGGGAGAGAGATGGAGAGAGAGAGAGAGAGAGAGAGAGAGAGAGAGAGAGAGAGAGAGAGAGAGAGACCAGGAGCTGGGAAGAACAGAGCAGTTCACAATGTGCTAGGGTATAAGGGGCTAGGAACCAGTTCAACCAAGTTGGTAGTCGTTATGGTAAACTAGCTGGGAAAAGCTAGAAGGTTCCCTGACTTATAAGTATGGAGGTTCCAAAGACTAAGCCTGAATCTCCCAGGATTTTAGGTGAGAGACTCAGGCACAAAAGCAGTGTTCTACAGAAATGAGTCTGTGATGGAGACAAGGTCTACAGGGTATGTTTTGGGCAGAACCTCATCATCCTTTGCATTTCTTAGGCTGGTTTTGGATAATCTGAGGGATTATAAAAATGGGGAGAAGGTTACTTTCCTGGTAGAACCAGAGACCCCAATATTAGAGGAAGCCTTCTTAGAATAAGGGACATTAGGGCCAGTGAGATAGCTCAGTGGTCTAAAGCTCCTGCTTAGGCAAGCTTAGGCAAGCGCAGGGACCACGGTTCAATCTCCGGCACAATATGCCACATGGCCTGAGCCAGCCTCAAAAAGAAGGGGTGGGGGACATTAGGCCCAGGGCCTTTGGTAGCTGACTTCTATGTCCTGTGTCTGAAAGCTGGTGGCAGGGTAGTGTCTTACAGATCTGACCATCCTATACTTGGCATTTATCGTGGTTAAAACTGACACAATCAAGTGCCACTGCACTTGCTTTATAGCTTAGTCTTTTTCTGAAGTTTAGAACATAAAAAATGTAGCCATTGAATACATCATCCAATCCTTTGCCTAGGCTAATCTTTACTTCCCCAGACCTTTCCTCAGTTCTAACCAAAATGCTTCTCCCAAAGATGTACTGTTGGGTTAAGTGAGAACCTTATGTGCGTTTTCTGTTGTCATTGCTTTTTAGGATCGAGAGTGCCAAATGGAGCCTCCTCCCAGGACAAACTTTTCAGCTACAGCCAATCAGGTGAGATCCTGGGCCAGCTTGAAACCTATCACCACCCCCACTCCCATGCATCTTTTTTGCATTCAACAGCAAAGAAGATACTGTGGCAGTCTGTCCTGCTTATCTACCCACTTCCTGTTCATTTCCCTGACCATCTAGTCTCTGAACACCAGATATATGAGACAGGAGGTCTCACACAGAGAGCTCTTGACCAGCCTCATGCCCACAGGACAAGTTTGTCCAAGGTGTAAACTGTCTTCCAGAAGTAAGAGAGAATGGTTGTTCTCGTGAACTCTCTGGCACCTGTGGCACCCTGTGCTTGATTGTGAAGTGTTAGCATTCTCACCCTGTCCTCCCAGGAGCCTACAGTACTCCTGCAGACCCCCTTCTTTCCTCCCAAGTTCTTATGAATGATAATACTGATTTGTACAGGATATGGTATCAGGAAAAACAGTGCAGGCCAGCTCTATTTCTCTTGTTTGCTTCTTTGTTTGTTTGTTTGGTTGGTTGGTTGCTTGCTTGCTTGCTTTTGTGAGATAAGGTCCTGCTATTTAGTTCAGGCTGACCTTGAACTCATTATTTAGTGCAGGCTGGCCTCAATCTTACAATGATTCTCCTGCCTCAGCTTCCAGAGTGCTGAGGTTACAGATGTGTACCATAACACTTGGGTGCTGTTTTTACCTTAAGATCCTGACCAAACTATGCCTCAGTTACTTTCATAAATGCCTCCATTTCTGTGATGAGAATGACAAACAGCCCCTCAGGGTTGCTGGAGTGGTCTGACTGAGATAACAAACAGTGAGCACTTTGCAGTATGGAATACTGGACAATGAGTAAATTTTTAAATGTAAGGCATGCCTATCTGGCCTCCAGGTGGCAGTGACTGCCCAGCTCTGGGGAGCACTGTACGATCTATGGCGTTTGCCCAGCTCCAAATTCTTCCTGCTTCCTCTGCTAGTATCCTTTGACTTCTTGTTCTTCAAATCCAATTGGCAGGGATTTGCTTACTTTTATCTCCTTTTAATGTGGAGGTATGATTAGTGCTGTAGCTAGCCTGAGCCATTATGTTGATCTTATCTCCATGAGAGGAGACGTTTTTAAAATTTCCTAATTCAGAGTCTTCTAAATCACATACACAAAAATGTGAGCTAACCTAATATTTCCCCATGTATTCTGCCTAAAGAGAGTGTAGTCTCCAGCTGAAGACCCAGGTCCTGAGGCTTAGGTAGATAAGTTCTGAGAGCACCTTCATTTCTATTCCAGAACTAATGGTTAGCAGGGAAGACAGATGTTGAATACATAATTACAATAGAGCAAGCACAGGATTTTATAGAGGGATGTGACAAGGATTAACAGACCAAATTCCCAAGATCTGAAGGCTGAAGAAGAGATGGCCAGGGGAAGATTGTCCCATGTGGTGACTTGCTTATCTTGTTTTTACCTAGTGGGAGATCTATGATGCCTATATAGAGGAGCTCAAGAAGCAGGAAAAGACCAAAGAGAAGGAGAAGACAAAGACCCCAGTGGCTAAGAAAACAGGAAAGATGGCCATGAGGAAACTTACATCTATGGAATCTCAGGTTTGCTGGGGACACTGTAGGGTCTGTCAAAGAATGTCTGAGTGGCCCATTGGCTCCTAGGTAGATAGAGGCCTGGCTGTCTTGGAGGGCTTCACATATATTTAAAAGGATGGTTAATGTTGAAGTATGAATAGTTATTTCCTTGGGGAAGAAATGAGGATAGCTACAATTACCTCTAGAATTCTACACCTCTTCACATTTTGGTCTAGGTCTGGAGGCTAGCCAGGATTGAAGATTACTGAGCTTAGGGATGACAGAAGACATGAAGTTTCTTGAAAGCATTATACACAATCTGGAATAACTGTGGGGGGTGATTAATCAACAGTAGGATGGGATAAGGCACTGCTTCCCTGGAGTTTGGAAGGATGAGAAGCTTTTTTTTGTTGTCATTCCCTGGATTTAACTGTGCCTGATATTTATGGGGAGTCTTCAAGGCTAGGAACTAGGTCAAAGGTGGTTAGAAATATCATCAATGCCAGGTCAATGGATCATCGTTCTGGACTGGAGTTCTCATGAGTATCCATGTGGGAATCAATATAAAAATCATGATGGGGGTGCTTATTGGCTTGTGGGCAACATAGGTTTGGTATCAGTATGGGAGTTACACTAATGCAACTATAGGAAATCATTGCAGAGAGGGTCATCACAAGGAGATGAAGAAGGGGACATTTGTCCTTTTGACAGATAGACATCTAAATCAGGAGCCAGAGTTCCAGAGTTCCAGAGCCAGATCAGGATGTGTGTGACCCCGTAATGGAAGAAATCACAGGAAATTGGGGGGTAGTTTCAGAACCTTGGAGAGCTCCCTGCAGCTCTGGGGAAATAGTTCAGCTCCACTCCAGAATAAAAGCCAGAGCAATTAACGAAAATTCTGCTTCATTTGTCTGAGATACTCTCACTTCCTCTCATTTTTCTATTCCACATGACTCTGTTTATGTCATGGGAAGGGGAAGTTTGAGTATCCCCTTATTTGTAACTGTCACTATTTTTTATTCATCATTGACCAGGCACTCACTGATTGTGGTAATGGAACTCTAAGGTGAAACATGGACCCACTGTCCTGAGCTTTGCTCTGCTCAAATCTTTGACTTCCTCTGCACCATTCCCTGCAGGTTAGAGCCTTCAAAATACCCTTTAATCTGGGTCAGGTTCATGTAAAGAGCTGGGTTTTTGCCATAGGACTTATGCTGAGATCTATGGTCGCAAAAGCTCCAGTTATAAAAATTAAGACCCAGAAACTTGAAAAGACTTCCTGTAACTGAGCCTAGAAATTGACCTAGAGTCTAAGCCCTACCAGAGTTGGTGTACTATACCCTCAAAGGGGAGGAATTTCCCACCCCCATTTACCATACTGGGCTCTTACAGCCTGCCTGGCACAGCAGGATGTGATATAGGCAGATCCCAGACCTCTGGGCTAAGAAGACAGTGGAGGTAGGACATTGAGGAGAATAATAGACATCCACTCCCAAGTGAGTACATTGGTAGGTAGCCTCTCTCAAAAGAAACAGCTCTAACTAGGATCCCAAGACTGTCTGTAGACTCAGATGGGAGTGGCCTTCCCCTTCCCCTTTCCCTAGGCCAAATGCAAGAGCACAGTAATGATACCTTTTTTCAAAGATCTAGGTCTGTTTAGGTTGGTATAAAACTCAAGTGTGGGGCTGGCAAGATGGCTCAGTGGTCTAAAGCACCTACTTAGAACAAGTTTAGCCAAAAGCAAAGGGACCGCGGTTCAATCCCCCAGCACCACATGCCAGCCAGGGCCGCCCCCTGGTGGGCTGAGCTGGCCACACACACACACACACACACACACACACACACACACATAAATAAAAAAAATTAAAAAAAAAAAACTCAAGTGTGCTGGAGGAAAGAAAAGACAATAAGTTCATGACACCCATATCATCAGGTGCCTAATGATGGACCTCAGTTCTCAGTTTCATTAATAATTCTGTGAATGCACAGCAATGAATGCAAGGCCTGCCTCATCCAAAAGATTAATCAGGCAAGAATGGGGGAAAGTGGCCACAAGTTCAGTCAGAATCATTAAACAGATGTGGCTGCTCATTTAGCATAGCATCAAGAATAAGGCAGGTGAACACCTACTGCTCTTTCACAGAGCACATCTGGAGCCCTTAGGCTTCTGGAAGCAGAAGAGGATGGCCAAGCTGAGAGGGGACTGGCTCTCTGTGTAGGGAAAGAGAATAATCCCAAGAGCCAGTAGACCTGGGTTTATATCTTGCTGTTGCCATTTGTTACCTGGAGTTTTCCAGTTTCCTCATCTGTAAATCCATCTTATGATACCTACTTTATAAAGTTGTTATAAAAACCTAATGTGTACTGTATTACAGCTTCTAAGGTGGCTCTTGCCTGCTACTGATTAGTAGATGGTAGTTACTATTGATACCCCATACCATGGCTGATAGAGTTTGAGAGAGGCCACCTTAGGAAATGCTGACCTAGGGGATTGAGGTCCTATTCTGCTACATCAGAGGAGCTGTCATTATACATACATTTCTTGTAGAAAGAAGACAGGGCCGTACGTAGAATGCCTAGGAAGGCAAGTTTTAGCTAATTGGCTATCTGATCACAGAAAGCATTGTCTCACAGGGAGATAATCAAACTTTCCAAGCAGCTGCTGAGGGAAAGAATGACCCAGAAACTGGAAAAGATTTCCTGTGACTGAGCCTAGAAGTTGACCTGAGATCTAAGCCTTATCAGAGTGGTAGGTAGGGCTCAAAACTTAATTGTGCTTTTGAGTCAGATGGCAGGGAAACTTACTGGTATGAATTTTGAAGGCTATGATTATAAGACTCCAATGTTTGTCCTCCTTGGTCTGTTTTCTGATATAAATTTGGAGTCCATCTAAGATGTAGCAAAAAGCCATCAAAGGACAGTTTCCCAGATGCAACTTTATAAGTCTCCACTTTGCTGGATGTGGTAATGCTCACCCATAATCCCAGCACTTGGGAGACTGAAGCAGGAGGATTGCCACAAGTTCAAGGCCAGTCTGGACTACATAGTGAGTTCAAGGCATTCCCTGAACTACATAGTAAGACTCTGTCTCAAAACAAAACAGAACAGAAAGTCTCCACCTTTCTTTGTTTCCTCCGATGCTACATGTCTACCATCATTACCAAAACCAGGCTAAATCATAACATGTTCCTTGTTGTGTTTAACTTTCAAAATAACCCTGTAAGGCAGATACTCTCATCCATCCCCACTTTTTTGGAAGAATTCTGCAACTCAAGAAAAGTTCAGTAGCTTGTTCAAGGGTATCATCTGGCTCCTAAGTGTTTGGATAGGATAGAAATGCAAGTCTGCATGGCTCTAGAACCTATTCTCTTACCACTGTCTGCCACTGCTACTCCTCGGGATTCATATGTCTGGCCTCTTGACACCCTCTGGAGGGCTGCCCAATGAGCCTCCCATGTGCCCTAAACTCTTTGGGCTTGTTTTGCTAGCCCCAAATTCTTCACTTTTCTATTAAACTATGTAGTTTATATCATAGATTTACAGGATTTCACAAGATGAGATTCTGCTTCTTCATTCCCTGATATGAAACTTCCTGCTGTCTTTGGTTGAGGTAGTGAGAGGGTTCTGGGATTGAGTGTCTCCATTCCGCTTCCTACTGCTCTACAAGCATATCACTCTCCTCTTGGGGCTTCTCTGACTTCCTCAAGCTGTGACGAAATAAGAGGGTTGGACCAGGAGAACTCTGAAGCTTTTGATGGGAGCCTGTCATTTCCTGAGCTGATGAAATCTCTGTTACACCAAAGAAGCCTCCAGTCTGTCTTTGTTTGCTGTCTTCTCCAATACTCTGCCTGGGTTTTTTCTGTTGTCTTATCTTGTGCTTAGAGACACATCTTCTCCAAACAAAATCAGAATGTGAAGCTGGCTCTATCCAAGGACCAGATAAATTGGCTTAGACCCCTTGTACTATCTGAGAGGAAAATGTTTCTGGAAGATGGTGGTAGGATGAACTGGACCTTGAGCCAGGCAGGAATACAATTACAGGACATGTCATGGAGGCATTGTTAAACCAACTGCAAGTCTGAAGTCCACGTCATGGTGTATGACCTTGCCAGGTGCTGGCTTATGAGGATGCATGGCTTCTGTGTCTCTACAGAGTGATGATATAACCAAAGTGTCCCAAGCTGCTAAGATTGTGGAGCGGATGGTCAACCAGAATACATATGATGATGTTGCTCAAGGTAAGACTTAAAGTGATAGTTAGAAAACCTTTATTTTATTTATTTATTTTTATTTTTATTTTTTTGCGAAACCGGGGATTGAACTCAGGCCCTTGCGCTTGCCAGGGAAGCACTTATTCCACTGAGCCATCTCCCCGGCCCCTAGAAAAACTTTATTAAAAGTTTATATCGGAAGGGGCCAGGGAGATGGCTCAGTGGAATAAGCGCTTCCCTGACAAACGCAAGGGCCTGAGTTCAAATCCCGGCTCTGCCAAAGGAAAAATGTTCATATCTGAGTATCTCATGCTAGATCCTATAGACACAAGGGGAGATTTTAAAAAGAAAAAAAACCTTCTCTCTGGATGTCATTGAGAAGACAAGACTTTACAAATCAACCATGAACAACAATCTAGCAAAAGATAATGATTCTCTGTAGTGATAAGATCAGACAATAGCATTAAAAGGACCTGTACATTAGTAATGCCATGTTAGCTTCCTAACAATCCTAGGAATCAGGCAGAGCAGAGACGATTACCCCTAATTTTCATATAAGATTGCTAAGGCCAAAGCTACCTGCCTAGTGAGTGTCAGGAAGGATTCCAAATCTACTTCTTAAACTTCTTCATTCTGTGTTCTTTTCTCCACTCAGTCAGCTTGGGGACATTATAAGGCTAGAATATATGACATAGATACTGCTCTTGGAATCCTCAAGGAGTGAAACTGGAAGATAAAAGATGAGTGAGAGTAGTCAAGGAGAGCTTCAGGAAGAGCAGAACTAGATCCCAGCTCTGATGTTGGCAAGTGGTGAGAGTTGATGCTGAAGGGGCAGTTGAATTCAGTTTAAGAAAGGCCTTGGATATCACACAGGGTCTGAGTTCTCTCTGCAGACAGTTCAGAGACACAGAAGCTGCCAGGCAGGATATAGCCAGTGAGAGCAAGGCCAAAGGAGGCTGTCATTGGGTAGAACACAGGGACAGAGGTAAAGGTGTGAGATGGAATGGGTCTTGCTACAACTTACCATACTGCATCATAGGGAATGAAGAAAAAGGAGCACATATAATAGCAATAGACAAGTACTGCCATTGTGCTATGAAATTTGCATATACTGCATTATTTATTTTTTTCAGGATGAACACACTGTGAATTGAAAACCATTATCATTTCCATTTTATAGATGAGAAACTCAGGCAGGATATTACACAGATAGGGGGAACCATGAGTGGTGGAGTCAGAACTTGAACACAGGTCCCTTGGATCCATCACCTAATCGCTTCTCCACTAGGCGACAGAACCAGAGCTGGAAGAGATGTTTCAAATAAACATACTCAGTAGATCTGGTGATTAATTAGTGATGAAGCAAAGAAAGAGATTGATTCAGAAGCACTTAAATCCTGGGGGCCTGGGAAATTCTGGTGTCTTTGACAGTGCCAGGGAAACGGAATCCTTCCCATGGCATGAGCAGCACATTCCCAAGTGGCTTGTAATTCCCTAAGAGGTTGTGCATTTATTTGGAGCAGCTGCCTCCCCAGAGTTGGCAGCTCCTTGCTGCTGGCTAGTCTCCTTTGCTGACAGCCTAGGGCTCCTTGGTGACTTGATGCTCACTGCTAACCCATGGGACACAGAAACTAAGGCTGCCAAGACCAGCAGCCTAAACAAGCCCCCTCGTTATCATTCAGGCTGGAAACCAACCTTGAGTGCTTGTCAAAGCTGTCAAAGTACAGAGCAGCTGTGAATGAATTTGTCACTCACACAGCTTGGCTTCATGAAACGCAGCTCTGCAAGTGGCCCACCAAAGGGCTGCAAACTTGATTAATATCCACGGGGAAATTGGCCCTGTGAACCACTTTCATTTATAAGAACACAATCACTAAAAATGCATTGAACTTTGATTTTTGTTAATTGCACACTTTTTCCCCCCTTTTGGGAAGTATAATTGTGAAGGAGAAGTGAAAATAGAGAAGTGTTACTAATTAATCTCTTCTCTGACATGAGGTATTTTCAGAGCTACCTCAGGCCCAAGAATCTCTGATCAAGGATCATGCCTTTCTGACCACTCAAATCTTTTCTGTTCTGAGACTTTTGTGTGTGTGTGTCTTTTTGAGACAGGGTTTCACTATATAGCTTGGGCCGGCTCTGAACTCACTTTGTAGCCCAGGATGGGCTTGAACTCACAGTAATTCTATTGCCTAAGCCTCCTGAGTGACGGGATTACGGGCATGTACCACCATGCTTGGCTGTTCTGAGACATTTTTGAGGCTTGAATGTCATCCCACATCCTCAGGGTGTGGGGCATTGTGAGTGAGGCTAGGGCAATTCCAGGGCTTGTCTGATCAACTTGGATAAGAGGGTTCATTTATGGCCATCCTTTTTTGGAAAGAAGACCAAGAACAATTTCACTTTTGTGGCTTTAATTTCTCAGCATTCTTTGATCAGTCGCTAGATGTCTGCTGTGTGGCTGTCCCTGCATTAAGTGCTGGCACCCTAGAGATGAATATAAGGAGTGTGTGGTTGGGAAGATAGCCAAAAGGACAGTGTGACAGATGTCTTATTAGAAAAGAGGCAGGAATAGAGGAAGATTTCATACTCAAAACAAGCTGGGATAGTGACTAGAGCCTGTAGTCCTAGCTACTTCAGTCCTAGCTATTACTGAGGTGGGAGGATAGCTTGAACCCAGGAGTTTGATACCAATCCAGGCAACATAATGAAACTATATGTTAAAAAAAAGAAATGAAATTAAAAAGAAAAGGGAAAGAAGGAAGGAAGAAAGGAAGGAAGGAAGGAAAGAAAGAAAGAAAGAAAGAAAGAAAGAAAGAAAGAAAGAAAGAAAATGAAGGCCTTACAAAGGAAAAGGAGGAATTTGATCTGGATCAAGAGTGAGTAGAGGGGCTGGTGAGATGGCTCAGTGGTCTAAAGCACCTACTTAGAACAAGCTAAGCTAAGCTAAGCTAAGCTAAGCAAAGCACAGGGACTGTGGTTCAATCCCCAGCACCACATGCCAGCCAGCCCCGCCCCCTGGTGGGCTGAACTGACCACACACATACAAAATAAATAAATTAATTAATTTAAAGAAAAAAGAGTGAGTAGAGAGCAGCAAGACCTTTTGACCTGGAAAAGCATGCAGAAACATCCAAAAACATGGCACAACTTGATTTGCTGATACTAATTGATATAGAGGCTACATGAATAGCTGGCTGGAAATAATACAAAGGTAGTAGCCAGGAGCCTTGTTTGGACTAAGGAGCCCCTGTTCAAGGACAGCCATTGGGGGGTTTCAGTGGGATGGAGAGTGGGTGGGAGCAGATACTTTGCTCTCACTCTGGTAGCTCTGTGCAGCATGAGCTGGAAGAGAGGCAGTAAAGGCAGGAAGAGTGTTAGAAGGCTGCTGTAAACCCGGGTGATAGATAGCAGGACCTGCACTTGAACAGTGGCTATGGGTTTAGAGAGAAGTGACTAGGTTAAGAGATAACAGGGAAAGACATGAGAAATGATGGAAAGAGATCGGTTGAGGATTACCCAGGTTTTTGGTTTAGGTAAATGGAAATATGAGGTTTCTATCCTACTTAGATAAAATGGGAGGCAAAGACAATTTTGAGAGTAAATGAAGTTGAGTTTGGGGAATCCATGGAGGTTCCAGGCGGGTTCATTATAGTGAGGCTGTAAATAGACAAGATGGGCTACATTTAGGGATTTAAGAGGCAGAGTGAGTAGAATGATTAATCAGCCTCTGGCAGCTGAACCCTCGAAATCTGGCTGCTCCCATCTGAGCCTTCTGAAGTGCTAGGGAAACGCATGGGTCCAAGCAGGACAGCTGGCTGTTGTGTTGTAATTTGCCTCCAACAACAGCAATGACAGTAACAATAGCGAACACTCAGAAATAATTCGCTGTGCACCAGTCATTTTTTCTAAGAACTTTCTGTATATTAACTCAATGAATATTCCTCACAACACTTTGGGATAGTTACTAGTATTCCCTCCCGTAAACACACATGTTCATCGTATTACTCATACAGACAATAAATGATGGACTTGGCTTTGCCTCAGAAAGGTAGTCTGAGGGATGGCTCTATCCGTGTTGTTTAAGATTTTAAGTACTATGAAGATGCTGCTGACGAATACCGGGACCAGGAGGGTACGCTGCTGCCGCTCTGGAAGTTCCAAAACGACAAAGCCAAGCGCCTGGCCGTCACCGCCCTCTGCTGGTGAGTGTAGACATTGCAGCAACCCTGGAGCCCTGGTGCGCCCGCTGAGCGCTAGGCTTGCATGGCTGCTTCTATATAGCACCTAGAACAGCTTCAGGGTAACACCAGGCAGTATGAGCAAAAGAGCACTGGGATTCCTGTGAGAGTGCAAGACCATCCGAGGACTCCCAGTTAATTTATTGGAGATGTCTGTGGTGCAGTTAGGAACCAGTGCCCATGGGACACCACCCAGTCTCCAATGGTTCAATTTCCAGCACCGATGGATTCATATTTCTTTTGCAGGAATCCAAAGTACAACGACCTGTTTGCAGTGGGACATGGCTCCTGTAAGTAATCTGCCTGTTTATTCATTTGCTTCTGCAAACAGCAAACACTAAGTATCTACTCTGTGCAGAGTTCTCTGCCAGGTTAAAGAATACAGAGCTAACTAGGACAGTCCCTGCAGCGATGGGGGTGTTGGCTCACAGTCTAATGGGGAACACCCACAATCATAAGGGCAGTTAATGCTAGGTGAAGGAATGTGTGGAGCTGAATGTGCCAACTGAGCCTCAGAGAAAGGGAAAGCACTCTGGCAGATGGGGGTAGCGCGGGTTAAGTCTGGAGGCCTGAGAGATAGGGTAGGAAATGATTAACTGCCAAAAGGGCTCAGCCCTCCAAGGCCGTTGTAGTTATCCCAGAAGCTTGCATGTCTCCTGAGGGAGAATTGAAGGACAAAGACACATTCCCCCAAGGTAGAATTCCACCACATGAGACAGGCAAGGAGGCCCTGTGCTGGCTTCCCAAGGAGAGATGGAAGGACCAGAACCACGACTGTGGGGGAGGGTAGAGACCCTCTCCCCGCCTCCTCAGCAGGTCTTCCTGAGCAGCCCTGGGTGGGCTAGGGGTGAGTATAAGGTGAGGTGAGTGCCCTTCAGCCCATGCCCTGGAGTCCTCTGTGGTCCAGGTGTTCCTGCCTCCACCTGAGGGAGGAGGTTGCACTCTTGGCAACGATGTCTGCACAGTGTGCTTTTCCTTCTTGTTCTGTGATCTGAGAAGAAGCCCCTATGACTGTGTTCCCCCCGCCATGTTCCCCCTTCCTGACTGGAAAGGGCCCTGCACTTCGTGCTAGGCACAGTCTCAGTGCTAACTGCATGTTGTCAGGCTGGAAGGAGCAGCTTCTTGGAACAGAAAGACCTATCCATACTCTAAACTGCTGCTGGCTGGCAGGCATACAAGCTCCCGGTTGCTGTCCCTCAGATCACCAGTCTTTGACCCGGGAGGGGGAGGAGGAGTTGGTGTTTGTCATTCCTCTCAGGGAGGAGACCTTGGAGCTGCTCCCAGTCTTGTGGTCTGGGCTGTCTTTGAGGATGCCCTAAATGCATGCTTTGTGTCCCCACTCCTGAGGGTAGGCTACTGCCAAATGGGAAGCCCCCCCACCCTGAACTCTAGTACATTCCTCGCCCTCTGCCACAGCTACTGGGCCTGCAACAGAGCCTGGGGGTTAGTGGGTCCTCCCAGGAGTGGGTGTAGACCCTTTCTGCCAGGCTGCTCTCAGCACAGACCCTCTGCCCAGGGCTGAGGTGAAGCTGTGGTGGCTTCCTGGAAGGCTGGAGGCAAATCGCCATGAGTTCTAGTTCCAGAGTTAAGCAGTGTCCTCTGTTTGGATTTGTGTAGAGGCTGTCCAAGGGGCAGCCTTAGGAACAACAGCAAAGGGTATTGTACTTCCCACAAATAGCTGGTCTGAAGCTTGATAAGCCCAATAGTCTCTTTGGGCAGGCCCTTACATAGGAGGATGTCTTTGTCCTTCCTTGGTCCCTTGAGCCACATCCATATGTCCAAGTGGTACCCACAATCAGCGATGGACCTTCCCCTGGAGGATCATCTCTCATTGTACGCTTGAACTTTGTTCTCTTCACTGGTGATGCAGAGAGGCTGATAGCCTGCTTCCTAAGATCACTGCAATGTACACATGAGACAGAAGAAGTAAACATGCCCTGCAAGCCGTAGGAGCCACCTGGGTAAAGGACAATCATTGCTGATTCATCTGTCATTCTTTTCCCTGGCTTCCCTGCAGTACCCCCAACAGACCTGAGCAGAATAAGAAGGCTAGAAGACACAGGGACATCTCTCTTAGACATCAGTATCCAGTAACAGTGGCAGTGGTATTTGTTGCTGTCACTGGCACAGGACTTGTTGATCAGTTTTCACATGAGCATCTATCATAGAGCCTTACATGTCTCAGTACAGTCTACAGAGGTCTGACCCAGCAAGCCTGGGCTGGGACTCAGAAAGTTTCCTGTGTTTACTCTGAGGCGCCTCAGGGAGGCCCACGCTCTTGGATGCCCAGCTGCCTTTATGGAGAAAGAGTACAATGCTGAGGTAGGCAGAGGTCACCCCAGTTGCTGGATGAGGTCACTGTGAGGAGAAAGTGGTCTCATCAACATCTCTCACAGTCTCTGGAAGCTTCCAAATACCAGCCCTTCTTAACCAGTCTGCCTCATGAGGACAAATACTGGAATAAGAATTTGGATTTGTTACTGGGTTTGATTCTGGTAAGCTCAGACCAGATATAAACCTCCTTTTGTCTGGAATTGTCAGATGTTTATTCTGTGGGGGTAGACACATACACTAAGTAGAAGACTGAGCCCTATCTCCCATCTTGGAGAATGGACATGCTTGCCAGAGTCAGGTCAGGAGCAAGTAGGTAGGAAGAAGTGAGTGGTACAACAGCACTAAAGCATCCACCCCGCCCCCGCCTGCCCAGGGCTCCTAGGTTCCAGCACATTAGTCTGTTTAGAGGGCAGAGGGCCTCCATAGGGCCTGGCTCCACGCTCCCAGTGGAACAGAAAAGAGGCTGTCAGGAGGTAAACACAAGTGGAAGAACATTGGAGGGCAAAGGGAAGTGAGTCCAGGAAGAAATTGCCCTGGCGCTGCTGGGATGCAATTATGTCAGCCTGCTGTACCAAAGGGGTGCTTTCCAGCTCATTAGCCAGTTCATAGCAGGGAAATAGGGACTCTGCATGGCCTGTGAGGCAAGAATGGTAGCACAGATCCTAGAAACTCTGTTTTGTCCCAAGATGTCACATAGGAGATAGGGCAGGAAGCTTCCCAGAGGGTCTCATGTTGTGAGGGCAGGGGAGTTGTTGTACCTTGGCCCAAACTCCCTCTGGGGAGAGCATCTTCAGAAGGAGCCAATGGCAGGTGCCAGGCTCTGTCCCACTGTATCCTGGCCTGTCCCTGGGCCTAGCCAGGCCAGAGATATACTTTTAGGGGTTTAAATCTTTCCTGATCATTTATTTGTCAGCTTCCCTAATTAAGCAGTGTTAATTTCATTTACTGAAAATGGAAATTCATCCACCTCATTTCTCCCTGTTCATCCTCCACACACAAAATCTATCATTCCTCAGCTTCAGGCTGTGTAAAATTTATAGGACTAATTATGTTGTCAGGTCTCTTTGTAAATATAGTCCATAAAGGCCACTGTGCTTGCTGGGTTGTAGTGCAAGGGCATTCCTGTTGTTAGTTTAATTACTGGCTAGTTATTTAGGTTCACAAATGTTTGCCTCATTTTCCCTAAATCAAATTAAATATCCTGCTTGCTGTATTCTGTTTCGAAGGCCTTGCTCTTATTTCCCACACTGTGTAAACCTGACTTCAAATCCACTGAAGGTGCCTACAAAGGCCTCCTTTCCTGGGATCTGAAACCCAGCTAAGCATCCTGGCCTCTGAACCATGCTTGAGATTTGGAACCTCTAGTGACCAATCCCCATTCTCAGTCCAATATTGTGCTAGTCCCTTGCTTCTGGAGTCCATGAAAATCCTAACACAGGCATTTTTGTTCCTGGAATCCAAAATGGAAGTATTGGAGTGTGGGAAACTCAAGGATGATTTCATTATTGTCCTGAGAAGGCCTGAGGATCATTGACTCCATTCCCCTGACTTCTGCAGATACCGCTTCCAAACCATCCCAGAAAAAAGAACTTCCTTTTCCAACTCCTAAAAGTAGTTTGGGTCAATCTTCTCTGAATACCTATCAATTCATTTTCTACTGTTCCTGTATGTAGCAAATGACCATAAACCAGGCTCAAAGCAACACAAATTTGTTTTCATATAGTTCATATAGGTAAGAAATTCAAAATGGATTTCACTGGACTAAAATCAGGTGTCAGCAGGACTATGTTTCTCCTAGAGGCTTGTAGACAGCACCTGTTTTCTTCTCTTTTCTAGATTCTAGAGGCTGCCCACATTCCGTGGCTTGTGGCCTTCCTCCAGCCACCAACTGCATCACTCTGACATCTGCTTCTGTCGTCACATTTCATTCTCTTACTCTCCTGCCTCTCTCTTTCCCTTATAAGAACCCTTGTGATTATATTAAATCCACCCAGATAATCCAAGATAATCTCCCCATCTCAAGATCTTTAACTTAATCACATCTGCAAAGTCCCCTTTGCCATGCAAAGTGACATATTTATAGGTTCTGGGGATTAGGATGTGGACATTCGGGGGGGCTATTATTTTGCCTACCACACACCCCCTCCAAGTGCCTCTAGCATGACTTAATAAGGGAGTCATCAAACAGCTGCTGCCTTGGAGTCAGTCCTGGGCTGGCACCATTTAGATTGCCACAGTACAAGAGGAAGCTGGCTGTCTGAGGCTGGCATGGTAACCTTGTCTCTGCAGTTTGGCTTCTCCTTCCTACTTACCTCTGACCTGGCTTTAGCCTCATGCCCCCAAATGCCCTCTGTCTGTCTTGCTCTCCCTGAATCCTGAGTAGGAGCCCAGGGTTTTCCTGACAGTCAGAATATTCTAGAGTGTCCAGCCATGATTTAGAGCTGTTACCAGCTGACCATACATGGAGTCATGGGCCTGGGGTCCCATTGATGGTTCCCTGTCCAAGAAGACATTAATCCAGATGCTTCAGTGGGCACTATTCTGCCAGGTCTCTAGCAGGGAAAGCTGAGGAACTCTGGTCTATGGTAGAATTAAGACATATATGTCTGGTGCTGGGGAGATAGCTCAGTTGAATAAGCACTTGCCTGACAAGCACAAGGACAAGTTCAATCCCTGGCTCTGCTAAAAAAAAAATTAACAAAAACCAAACAAACACGTATGTCAACACACACACACACACACACACACACACACACACACCTTCTTGCCTGAGAATAGTCACATCAGATTTTATGTTTGATTCCCTTCCTCCAAATTTCATGGATGATTGACAGGCAGTGGGGGTACTTAATGATTATCTAACAGGACAAGGTTAGCAGGAGGCAACTCTGTCTCCAAAAAGAGCAAGACTTCTGGGGAGCAAGCCAAGATGTGTTGCCTCCATCCTTTATGGCAG